CCATCACTTGATGCAATGATTATATGCATATCAAAAACATAAAAGCAGATGGGAGGTTAAAAAAGGAAGAAGGTAAACATTAAATCATAAGTGGATGAAAACCTTAGCAAACAGCAACATAACACAGGTTGTTCTGTGTGGGCGTCTGCCCGCACATCCTTTTGATCAAATGAACTCTAAGGGAGATGTTGGTTTCTAAAATGATTGAGTGGAGCTATCCTGGCTGGAGGTAGACTCAAGGGCAAGGAGGGAGTCCTTCTGATGAGGAGGATTAGAATGAGTGAAATTTTCCTGCTGCCCTCATAGCTATGAGTGATTTATGCTGTGTTTTGCTTCTGTAATCTCCCTTACCTTCTCACTCAGCTAACTCCCACCCCCTTTGCCTTGAGAAACAGTTTGAAATAATTTTCCTAATTTCATCCTTTCTTCTTCTGTAAACATGCTGCTCATGTATCTCAGTCAAGTAGGCTAAAATTTAAATCCCTAACCTACCAGTAATAGAAAAGATCCAAATAATGCTGTATAGTCTATAAATATAACTGTAGATCAGGGGTGGTATCTATCCAGGGCACTAGCTCCGTAGGTCTGCTAGAGTAACAAAAATGTGTTCTCCATCTCTCCAAATGCATGCTGGTTTGTTTTTTTTTTTTTTTTAGAAGATCTGATTTATGCAACACATGAGGGCCCTGTGTCAGTCAGCTTTGATGAAATACAATGACCAAAAACAACTTGGGAAGAAAAGAGTTTATTCGCTTTCATATTCTGTATCACTGCCTTAGGGTTTTATTGATGTGAAGAGACACCATGACCACAGCAACTATTATAAAGAAAAAATATTTAATTGGGCTGGTTTACAGTTCAGAGGTCCATTATCATCGTGGTGGGACATGGTGACATGCAGGCAGACATGGTGCTGGAGAAGGAGCTGAGAGTTCTACATCTTGATCCACTGGGAGCAGGAAGAGAGTGCCCCACTGGGTGTGTCTTGAGCATCTGAGACCTCAAGCCTGCCCCCACTGACACACTTCCTCCAACAAGGCACATTTCCTAATAGTGCCACTCCCTATGGGCCTATGGGGGTCATCTTTATTCAAACTACCACAATCAAAATCCATTGAGCAAAGCCAAAGCAGGGACTCAAAACGGGCAGGAACCTGGAGGCAGGAGCTGATACAGAAGCCACAGAGGAGTGCTGCTTATTGGCTTGCTCCTCATGTTTTGCTCAGCCTGCTTTCTTATAGAACCCAGGGCTACCAGCCCAGGGATGGCACCACCCACAATTGGCTGAGCCCTCTCACAACAGCACTAATTAAGAAAACACCCTATAGGCTTGCCTACATTCTGGTCTTATGGAGGCAATTTCTCAATTGAGGTTCCCTCCCCTCAGATGACTCTAAATTGTGTCAAGTTGACTTAAAACTAGCCAGCACAACATGGCAACTGATGAACTATATCTTTTGTATATCGAAAGTCTGGACATTCAGTGTAAATTTAAGATTATAGCAAACACCGTGAAACTGTGCCTGGAATCGAGGCCCTCTATTTACAGCAGTCCCTGACTCCTTCCATGTTATACTGTTTTGGCAGAGCGAGTGGACTTGTCTGAGGCACCAAGATAGAGTGTGAGATAGAATTTGGAAGGATGTTAAAGTTTTGAGGTTGGACTTCTATTTGATTTAGGGATTTTGTCTCCAAGTGCATTTGTGTCTTAATTTTTTTTTCTGAATAAGCAAATACATTTCTTTCTGTTTGTATGAACTTCATACATGATCCTTGCATCTTCATTATTCCAGTTCCTCCTTCTTCCTCCAACTCCTCCCATTTCCCATCCCTCCCTTACAAATTCATGATCTCTTCTTTAATTATTGCTTCATGTATATGCATGCACACACACATACATATCAGTAGACTGTACACATACACACATTTATATATAATCTGCTGAGTCTGTTTAGTGTTTTTTATATGTACATGTCCAGGGCTGACCACTTGTATTGGACAACCTATTCAGAGTTCTTCCCTGGAGGAAGCTGTTTCTCCCTCTATCAGGACTGCTTGTAGCTCTTAACTTGAGATGGGACTATGTAGACGTTGCCCTGTTCACACTGGCATGATAACTGTTATTGTCAGTAGGCAGGACTTGTTGAGATTTCTTGGGTGCATTTTTCCTGTTACATCTAGGGGATGCTACCTATCAACAGGCATCCCATAATCTTTCTGCTTCCTTCTCTAGGATTGTCCCTGAGCCTTAGGTGTTGGGGTCGTGTTACAGATGGCTCCTCACAAGTCGCTGATGGTCTGCATTTTTGACCAGTTGTAGATCTCTGTAATAGTCTCCACGTGTTGCAGAAAGAGGCTCAGGGGATGAGGATGAGAGCTGTGCTGACCAGGCTGGGCCAGGGTCTCTGTGCTAAGCTTTGCATTGCTGCTACAAAATACCTAACCTGAGTGACTTACAAGAGGATCGATCTACTCTGGCTCAGGGTTTCAGATGAGTCCGCCCGTTGGCTCCACTGATTCAGAGCATCATGACCCTGGGAGCACGTGGCAAAGGCTGCTCACCTCCTGGTGGATAGGCCTCAGAAGGATGGAAGAAGGGCCCCAGGACCGAGAAGAGCATCCCAAACATGCTGTCAGATGTGTCACACACAGTGTCACACGGTCCCCTCAGTTCCCGCTGCCTCGCCATTTAACACCTCCAGAGGACAACCAAAGTCTCTGGGACCCCTTTCATGTTCAAACGGCAACAATTTGTTAATTTGAAAGATATGAGAGTTTTTTTGTTTTCTGATCAGAATGAAAGACTCATCCTTTAAAAACAAGTTGTGTTAGCCACTTTTATATTTCTAAAGGTTCTCAAAACAGTGTTTTCCTTATGCAAAGTTAGCAAACATTTCTCAAAGGCTTCCAAACTCTTCTTTTACCCCTCCTACCATGAAAGGTCTTTGTGTCAGGCTGGGGAATCTTAGAGCAAAGAGCTTTCTAAATCCGTAGTGCTTCCTTTTAGAAATAAGAGTAGCAAAAGACAGTGTTCTTTACAAATTGCCCAAAGACTTCAGCAAAGTTACCACCTCCTCTGTTGCTCCACGGAGAGCGGCCGTCCTGGGATCCATTAGTTCTTAAGAAATGCACTTTTAGGCAGGTCCAGTGGTGGTGCACACCTTTAAACCCAGCGCTCCAAGAGCAAAGGCAGGCGGGTCTCTGTGAGCTCCAGGGCAACCCAGCCTACATAATGAGTTGCAGGCCAGATAGGGGTATACAGTGAGACCCTATCAAAATAAATAAACTAATTAAATTTAAAAAAAAAAAACAACTTCTGTATTTGTGGAGAGAAACGTAACTGCTGACAGCCTAATGAAAACAACAACAATAACAACAGAGAATTCCAACATAGGTGTACTCTTTGCTCTCTAGAGGCAGACAGTACTCCCCCCATCTGCCTGACTGGGTGCTCCCCCCGCCCCCCCCCCCCCCGACCTCAATGCTCACCCACAGTCAAGAGGAAAAAGCTCCATCTCAGTAGAAGTGTGTGTCTCCCTTTGAGTGCCCAGAGGGGCGAGAAGGACAGAGCAAAGACCTAAGGTGAATAGCAGCCTCACCCTTTGTCCCTTCTCTCCAGGGTGCACACATTCTAATGCTGTCCCCTAGAGTCTTGCTCTTGTTTAGGTTTGCAGGGCATCGGAAGCACTCCAGTCCGTGACCCAGCCTGATGTCTTTTAGTGACAAACTAACTCTGCATGATCTGGGTCAACACAATCCAGAATGTCCTGGTGCCTCGATGTTTGTGAATTCCATCTGTCCTGGAAATAAAATACGTTATGGAATAAGAACGTAAGCTTTGTTCTAGAATTAACTGGAGTGTCGCTGTCTCCCCCCCCCCCCGCCCCCCAACCCAGCTCATCTTTGTGGTTCTTCCAATGTAAAGTAGATTAGTTCTTATAGTCTGAGGCACTCATGAGGGCAACCTGTAGCATTTGTTTGTTTGCTGTTTGTTTTATTCTAAATATTGAACCTGGACCAGGCCAAACCTAAAAATGTCTCTCTGTCCACAACTCAGTTCTCTCTGGTTACTGTGCCGAAAGGCTCCAAACCTCCTCACACAAGGACATAGATCAAATTGGAACTTCCAGAAGAGCTCAGAACCCTTGAACATTTTTGTGTGTGCACAGTGAGGATCAAATTCAAGGCCACTATGTGCCAGGCAAGCACCCTATCACCAATTCACACCCTCAGTTTAGTCTCAGAGCCCCTCAGGATTACAGGGAGCAGGCAAGACCCTCAACAGGGATAACTCCAATCAACATAAAAGAGAGCTTGTGGCTTCGTCTTCACAAGCTTAGAGCAGAAGTCACCCCAGAATGATCCCTGCCCTACCCTGGGGGGCTGTAGAGGGGGTTTACTTGGCCCATCTATGTCTTAGTCTGTGTTCTATTGCTGCCAAGAGACACCATAACCAAGGCAACTCCAATTAACAAAAAGCATTTAATTGGGGCTTGCTTAAAGTTTCAGAGGTTTAGTCCATTATCATCATGGTGGGAAGCATGGCAGCATGCTTGCGGACATGGTGCTGGAGAGGTAGCTGAGAGTTCTACATCTGGATTCATAGGCAGCAGAAAGAGAAAGAGAGCCACTGGGCCTGGCTTGGGCTTTTGAAAATCTCAAAGCCCACCTCCACTGACACACTTCATGAAACAAGGCCACAGCCATTCCAACAAGGCTACATCTCCCAATCCTTTCAAACAGTGCCACTCCTGAAGCACTCAAATGTATGAGCCTATTGGTGGTCATTCCTATGCAAACCACCACAGCCTACTTGATGCTTTTAAAATGAGATGTGTTGGCCTAGGGTGGCGGTACACAACTGTTACCATAGCCCTAGCACTCAGGAGAGGGAGGCAGGAGGACCTGAAGTCAAAGGTCATCCTTGACGACCCATCCAGTTTGAGGTCAGCTTGGGCTACATAAGACCCAGCCTCAAAAAAAAAAAAAAAAAATTTGTTGCAAGATGTGAATGTTTGAAATTTTTTTCACACTGAAATTAACTCTTTGGCTATATTTGAAGATTTCAGTTATGACAACATCAGGCCTCCAAGACAGGGTAGCCACCCTTTCAAAACAGGATGGCCACCACAGTCCCCAGGATGCAAGTCTCACACCTGGCCTGTTTCCCTCATTAGTTTTAAATTGCAAATACTGTGGGAAGATTGTTAGTTTGGCATGCAGGTGGCTTCTGTGTCCCCTGCAGGGAACCAGCTGGCTGCTCAACACCCAGGATGAAACAGAGGGTCCAGAGCACTGGGAGGATTGCCAGCCCCGCTTGCAGCAAGACAGCGGTGACATGACCCCAACCTCTTCCTTCCTGGAGGAAGCAGAAAAGGGGCCCTGGCTGTTTGCCAGACAGTTTCTCAAGGCAGATAAGGAGCCACAGAAAGATGCACCGCTGCAGACAAGCTGGGTTGCTAAATAAAGGAGCTGCTTGATGACTGAGTCCTGCCTGTGGTTCTTAGCTTGCCAGCCTCAGTCCAAGAGCAGGCTGAGACCCCCCCACACCTGCTGGCCTTTCCTTTCCAAACAAGCGGCCTCTTAGCAACAGCCCTGACTCCCTGCATCTGCTAGAAGCCTCAGAGGTACAAAGGATCCTCGGAGGCAGGCAGAGTGCAGGGGCAGAGCAGAGAGGATCCCGCAGGAGCTGGTTGTGCAGCGAGCAGGCAGGGGAAAGCGGCTGTGCTCAGCAGCAGAGCTCCAGCAGCTACGGTTGTCTCTTGGCATCTTTGCTGGGCTGAGGGAGCCCTCTCGGCATTCCGGCTGCATCGATAAAGCAGTGAGCCTTGCTCTTGGCTTCGCGATGCACACAGGTTCCAAATGGCCTTTGTCTTCAGCATCACAGCCTGCAGACAGAGGTAGGTACCCCACCAGCTGTGGACGCGCAAGCTGAAGCCTCTGGTTGGTGAGGGCAGCAGAAACCACAATACTCAGCTTCCCTGGAGGGAAAGGTAAGAAGGAGACAGGTTTGGATGCTGCACTTTCACACACACACACACACACACACACACACACACACACACACACACCCCGCAGTGAAGCCCTTCCCCACTGGCTGGAGAAGACGTAGCTAACCTTGACCCAGTTCTAGGCTAGCCAATGTTTCCTCACTCAACCAGCAGCAATTATAACCCCTTGGAGTTCTGCTCTTATTTGGGTGCTAGAGCTACATGAGGGCCAACTGATGAAGAAATGTGAATGGGGGAGGTCACTGGCTTGCCTGACGGAGCAGCCCAGCCATGCTCTTTGGAAACAGCCCTCAGCGGGGACAGGTGCAGTCATTAATCATGACCTTCTGTTCATTTCCTGTGGTCTCACTCTCAGGAATCCCACGGGCCTCAGGTTGGGCTTACATATAGGGTACCACCCCTCACCTTGTGCTCTTTTGTCCCAGAACCCAGGATCTCATTTATCCCATAAAGGAGCGCACCTCTAGACACAGTCACCTTGTCCTGCTGTCCCTTCTCATTACCACCTCCCATCAGCAGCTCGGGTCACACTTTCCAATCCTCCATCACAGCTTCATTTACATGGTGTTTCTAGCTTACTCCGAGATGTGATTAGCCCGAATGGGCAAAGAACCAAGCCACCAACCTAAGATAAAGTGCCAAATGGATGGCCTCACCTAGACACCAGCCAGGTGGAAAACTGTCCATTGGGCAAGGAAATGAGGCTGGTGGAAACGTCAGGACGGCTCAGTCTTAAGGCACAGTGCAGGTGCTGGAAGTGGTGTTTCCAGGGGCTACGGCTTTAGCACTGAGGGGAGAAAGGTAAATTACACACTCTTCAGTTAGTTTGGGAGCTTACAACCAGGTGCACTTTGCATTTGCTTGCATGGGGCCTTTCTTGTCCCCTTTCCTTTCTGTTTGGTACCATCTCATTAGGAGCCCTGAGATGGGGCTCAGCATGGTGCACAGGCGCCACAGTGAAGAGCAGCCTGCTGGCTTTCTACTTGCCCCGTTTGACTCAGGATCCCTAACAGTAGGTTTCTGATGCTTTGAGGGTGCCAAGCTGCTTCCTGGATCTCCACAGACAACACGAGTCCTCTTCTTGGTGAATTCTCTGATGTCTGGGTAGAGACTTTTCCATGGCTATGGCAAGAAATAATCGGCAGAGAAACGTGGAGCACCTTCCTCTCAGCTAAGGAACCATCCATGGATGTCCACATTAGGGCTCTCTGGTCCTCCCTACATCTCTTGAGGCCAGTTATTTCCTTTCCACCCTATTTTTCTCTCCTGATCGAAGGCACTGTTTGTTATGGGTAACTAGACAAACACAGAGCTCTGGAGAGCCAATGGCTGGGGGTTTTATATCTGAGAGAATTCTTGGATAAAGTGGCTTTTGCAAGGCTCTCCAAGAGGGACCAACTTAGAATGGCTTGTCTGGACATACATGGAAAACCAGGAAAGAGGCTTCAACTCACTTCTCAAAGGTTGATCCTCTTTTTGCGTCACCCCCCTTTAAAAACTAAAGAGCTAGTCAGACTTCCTTTGTCAAGGGTGGGCATGCATTGTCTAGTCACAGAATCACAGCTTGGTCTTTATTCAGTGAGTAAACAGTCTGACTGATGCCCGGTGATTTGGGATAAGAGCGCAGTATGAGTGTGGTACTATCCATAGAAAGAAGAAACAGTCCCACTCATTTGCTTTTGTGTGACAGTCTAATTAAAAGACACCCTCCAAGGCCACACAGATCCTAATGAGCGGATGCAAGTGTTCAAATCCACATAACCTATGGAACTTGGGAACTGGCTCCTCAAATAACTGTGTGGTTTGGAAGGGTTTTGTTTTTCCAGTGTCAAACAATAAGCTGATTAATTCACATTTTTCAAAGTCAGTTTCAAACCCTATTTTTTTTTTCTTTTTTAACATCTACAGAAAACCTGGAAGGGAATACAAATTCCTTCCTGGAAAACACATCTCCCTTTCTGCCCTCCCCGCACCCTCTGATAAATAACATGAGCATGCAGCGATTTGCCAACAGCAGCTCCAGGCACGAGGCACAACATCTGTTAGCGAGACGCTGGAGAGACGGTGGAAGGCATGCTGGCTGCCTGCCCACCTTCAGACTCCAGATTTTTGCTGACAAGGCTGTCAATAAATGGGCAGATGGCATGGGCTCCGCTGGCAGGAGAGTTCCCTTAACCCGACTCCAGACATTATCTCCAGTTCATGGTGCACTGGGCTGAGCCCTTCACTGGACCATTAAAGCACTCCTTGATGGAGCACAGGGAGCAGACCTAGGAAGGGGGAGGCCCTCGCCTCCTTTAATTACATTAACTGAGTCTCTCCTGCAGTTGGCAGGCAGAGTGAGTGAGATGAGCCCTTGTGACCACAGAAGTGGGAGGAGCAGCCACCCACTGCATTTCATGCTGTTTAAACCTGGGCATCCGATTCTCAGGAGCTGTGTACCTCCAGGAGAACAGAGTTTGCTGTGAAATAAAAACTCACTAAGATGGATCTAGGTGTCTCTGCAAGCCTTCAGGCTCTTGCATTGTCTTACAGGAACTGTATGCACACATGCTGCATTGGCCAGCATTCTCTAGCCAGAAACAGCTCTGCTAACTCACACAGATGTCCTCTGGTGGTGACTTGGGGAAAACACCCTCTGCCATCTGAGGACGGTTCCAGCTTGTGGTGACTGCAGTTTAATCTCAAACTCATCAGGCTGAGGCAGATGAGCAGTGTGATCTGAAAGGAGTTATTTAAGCAATTGGCCCTATATTACCATGTACACAGAAATCAGCTATTTTACCATGTACGTAGAAATCAGCTACACGTTCCCACTGCACAGTTACAAAGTACCTTTGCATACCTTAAGGGGGTGGTTTTAACTGAGGGTGACTTTGCCCCTCCTCCTCATGACACAATGCCTGGAAACACACTGATGTCTCTAAGGCAAAGGGCAGTGATGATGCTGAGTGTCTCCACTGCACAGGATTCACTCACAACAAAGAACGATCCCAGCCAGGGTGTTGGCAGTGCCAGGGTTGAGAAGCCTGCATCAGGACAAAGGAAATGAACATTTCTCGAATCCCTTGAAAAGGGGAGCAGAGACAGAGCAGCTGCTGGGCATATAAAAAGGAAGCTGGGAATTTGCTCTTACCGTCTCAGGTAGACTCACCACAATGTCGTTATTCTGAGTGCTATTCACTATTCACTAAACAGCAGTTCCCCCAAGTTCTTACTGCCGTCCTTTCCATCAGATCTGAACAATAAAACATCACATCCATAAAAGCCATTTTAGTTTAATTCATGTTTAGCAAATGAGAATATCCACCTGCCGCCTAACTGGGACTAGAGTCTTAAATGGAAGCATGCTTTAAAGCTTGTCACTGGGTATTGTGGCTTGTGTCTGTAATCCCAGCCCTCAGGAGGCAGAGGGAAGAAAACTCTGTGAGTTCCAGGCCAGCCTGAACACACACACACACACACACACACACACACACCACGTGAATTAAATTAAATGAACATATTGGAGGGTTACAGGGGAGTCAAGATGAGTACAGAATTTATGAGGTTAGGGGTTTAGGATCTAACAGATGTGCTCACATTTTCATTTGTGTTCTGTGGCTTGAGTAGCTTTGGACAGACAGACTAGTCTTAAAGATATAGCACCCCTTTAGAGGTATGAGTCAGGCAAAGCACTGGCCTATTTCTTGTGAGTTTTGCAGAATGAACTGTACACTCCTACCCCCCCAAAATCACATGTTGAAATGTGAGCCTTTATCCTGCCACTTTATATTGCCATGGAGATGTCCTTAGTTCACATACTGAAGTGGGGAGAGCACCTCTAACCTCATGAGGCTGTGGAGAAACTTAGATCCAGATCTCCACCCAGACAGAACACTGACCAGATATGAAGACAAAGGGCAGAGTGTGAGTCCACAAGGGCAGGAACACCAAAGGTTGCCAACAAGGACCTTGGAGTCACCAGACATGCACAAAGCAGATTCCTTCTTGCGGCTCTCTGAAGACATCCAGTTCCAGAACTGAGAGCCTAAATTCTGCTGGGGAAGCCACCCGGGATTCAGTTTTGGCTGCGGTGACAATGCTCTAGTTTACCAGTACAGATCAGGTGGACTAGAGAAATGTCATGGCAGGCAGAGCATCCTCACCAGAGCCATCTCCCTCCAACTGCTGCCTGCAAACTACTGCTTCTGCAGAGCAGGCAACTCCCCGGATCAACCTCGGGGACAGAGGCCAGTGTCCCCTCCCTCTAACAGGAAGCAGGAAAGGTAGGCAGCATATCAAGAGCTCTCATTTCATTATATCCCTCCTGCAAGCCTTCCAGGAATCCCTGAAGCACAGCTGGAGGACACTTGCCTTCCTAAATCAGTGTGAGAGGTGGAATCTGAGGGCCGTACTTACTTTGGTCCTTTCTGCTGTTTTGAGAACCTGGTGTTTCTAAGGCCCTCACAAGAATGGTCTGGTCTACCGTTGTGTTCACACCTGTAGCAGTATGTAGCAGTTCACACATGCATGGTAGCAGTCTCTTGACCATTTAAAACAAATCAACTAAATAATGTACAGGGGTCCATTCCAGGACATAATCCGAGAGGGGTCTCAGCCTGAGGCATATACAGGAGTGAGACCTGGGGGCCAAATGTAAGGGCGTACTGCAAGGACAGATCTGTATGAGAGGGGAGATCAAGTTTTGTGATCCCTGTGAGACACCATAGTTATGCTATGCAGACTGTGAACCTATGGCACAAGGTAGTCAGGTTTCTATTGCAGAACACATTTACACTAATATATAATCCTCTACCCCTAAGCAATGAGTATTATTATTATAATTCATGTTTTATAGTTCAAGAACAATTAACTTTACATTAGATTGACTGAATATCTGGAGTCAGCCAAGAAATAGTAGCTGTAATGCATTTATTACTTTTATTTTTGCTGTGACTAAAGATCTAACCAGAAGCGACTTAAGGGAGAAAGGCTTATTTTCTCTTACAGCTTGTGAGAACAGTTCACATGGCAGGAAGGGGTGGCAACAGGAACACCAGGAGAGAACAAAACACCTTTTGTCTCTAACCAGGAAGCACGGAGTGGACAGGAAGTAGGGTGGGGCTATAAAACCAAAAAGGCCCACCCCAATAGTGACATACTCCCTCCAAAAAGACTGTACCTCCTAAAGGTTCCATAGCTTTCAAAACAGTGTCACCAACTGGGGACCAGGTATTCAAACACATGAGCTCGTGGGGGACATTTCACTTTCAAACCACAACACTTGCCTGCGTTAAAAAACATTTTAATTAGTTCATTGTACAGTTGTTTAAAATTCCCTAGGAAAGTTAGGCAAGATGCACAGTAAAGCGGACAGCACTCTACGTTGGCTCTTAACCCGGCTGAGAAGTTGGTGGCTAGTTTGGGCCTTTGTTTAGTTTTGTTCTTTGCTTTGATCATTTTTTTTTCTGTATTTTCTTTTTGTTACTATTTTGTTTTGTTTGGAATCTTTAAACTGTTGCATACAGAGGGCCAGACCCGTACCCTAAAAGCTGCCTTACATCTCATGTCCAGCCATCAGATTATCCAGGGTGAAGACGCCAGAGACACACCAAAGACAATCAATTACTCTGGAGCTCAATCTTGGCCCTTGGGCCAGGTGATGAGACTTGGGATATTTATGGCTTCCTTTTTTATCATCTCTGGCACTTCTTGGGTTTGTTTTGAGAGTCTCTCTCTGTAGCCCAGGATAGCCTGGAACTCACTATGTAGCCTAGAATACCTCTGAATGGGTGGGCACTCCCTCTGCCTGGGCCTCTTGAGAGCTGGGATTACAAGCATGAGCCACAATGCTGGTTCTAGTATTTTGTTTTTCTTCATTAGTTGTTGGGGAAAGAAACGTTATAATTAGCATCTCTTGTCAACTGGACACGCCTGGTAAGAGGGCCCTTGATTTAAGTATTGCCTCTGTTATATTGACCCGTGAGCATGTCTGAGGGACATTTTCGTTTTTCTTTTTCTTTTTTTTTTTTTAAGATTTATTTATTTATTTATTTATTATGTATACAGTGTTCTGTCTGCATGTATCCCTGCAGGCCAGAAGAGGGCACTAGATCTCACTATAGATGGTTGTGAGCCACCATGTGCTTGCTGGGAATTGAACTCAGGACCTTTGGAAGAGCAAGCAGTGCTCTTAACCACTGAGCCATCTCTCCAGCCTGAAGGACATTTTCTTAATTGCTAATTGATGCAGGAGAGCTCAGCCCGCTGTGGATGTGGATCCTTTGAGCAGGTGGTCCCTGGTTGTATAAGGAAGGTAGCTGAGCAGGTCAGAGGGAACAAGTTCATAAGCATGCCTCCATGGTTCCTGCCCTGCCTTCCCTCGGAGATGGGTTGTGATCAGGAAGGATGAACCAAATAACATCCCCTGAAAACAATTTTTTAATTAAATCTTAGAGAATTTTATACAATGTGTTTTGATCATACTCACTATTGACCTCTCCCCCTAACTCTTCCCAGATCCACCTGCACCTCCCCACCCTCCCCCACAATTTTGTATCCTCTTTTTTATTATTTGTAAATAACCCATTGACTCCTATTTATGCTGCCCGTATACTCCTGTGAGTGGGGACATCCACTGAAGCACGGTCTATGATGATATTTTATTTGTGCTGAAATGTGATTTTATTTATATGTTAATAAATAAAGTTGCCTGGGGATCAGAGCTAAAAGCGAGCCATTTAGTAGCAGTCCAGTGGTGGTGGCACACACCCTTAATCTGATCACATGGCAGGCAGAATCTCTATGTGGTCAAGGACACAGCCAAGCAGTGACACGAACTTTTAATCCCAGTACCAACCATAAAGACCTGGAGGTCTGTATAGAAAGGCAGTGACGAGGAAGTCATGTGGTTGGGTTTAGAGCCAATGAGAAGTCAGAACAGGAAGGCAATAAAAAGACAGTCACACAGGAAGAAAGTCTCTCTCTCTCTCTCTCTCTCTCTCTCTCTCTCTCTCTCTCTCTCTCTCTCTTGGGAAGTGATGGCGGCGAGGTGGTCAAATAAGGCAGTAGTGGCTCTTGCTCTGATCTCTTGGCTTTAACTCTGTATTTGGCTCTGGGTTTCTTATTTAATAAGACTGTTTAGAGTTTCATCTACAACAGTCAACCCACCAGGGGCCACGACCTTAAAAAGAAACCGACTCTCCTTCCTGCAGAAGCCATCTACCAGCTAAAGCTCCTTGGGTAGGGATGGGATCTCCGCGAACCCCTTCCCCATCCACGCTAGACTGTTGACTGACTCGAGCCCGTGCTGGCCTTGTGCAGGCAGCCAGGGCGGCTAGGCACTCAGAGAGCAGTGTTCTTGTCCCGTCCGGAAGATGCTGTCATCTTCAGTCTCCAGACCTCTGCTCTGAAAGTCTTCCTGCCCCCTCCTCCATGAGGGTCTCTGAGCCTTGGAGGGGACGGGTGGTACAGATGCCCCGTTTGTGTCTGAGCACTCACGGACATTTATACTCTGCGTTTCAGCCCGTTGTGAATTTCTGGGTAAACCGCCATCCAAAGCACCTAGTTGTTAAAGTCTAATTTTCTGACACACCCTGTGCATTTCCTCACACAGGCAGGGTTCCTGGAGTCTGATCTGCTGCTGCTGCCATGCTCAGGAGGATGAGCATTTGGAAGCCCTCTTAACTCAGCACCCAGACTGCCCCTGGTAGTCTTGTTTTCTGCCTCATTGCTCTGGGCTAATCTCTATGCTAATACCATGACTATTTTTTCAAACTCACAACTGATTGTGTGCTTTAAGCATTTATCTGGAAAAAAAAATCCTTTCATGGGTCTCTCTCTCTCTCTGCTCTAACGAAATAAACCCTAATCCCCTGATGTGACTTGCAAGAATCATCCCTTTTTCCTGTTTCTATATTCCAAACTCAAGAGCTAGTCCCATCACTTAGCACACATCCTTTACTCTCAGCCACCTGAGGCCCATCTGTCCCTCACTCTGTCTGACCTGGAGCTTTCTGCAGCACCTGAGTCCCCACCTCAACCCCCCCACCCCGCCAAACAAAACAAAACAAAAAAGCCAACTTAGAACTTCTACTCACCCTTCAAACCACAGCTTCTCTGATCTTAAGACAAAAGTTCACACTTCCCTGGAACTTTCCCACCAAGTGATCAAGCACCCATAACGCTTTATACTTTATGATTGCTTGGCTAGATTTTTGGATGGTGAATTCCAGGAGGACCGGGACTGAATCTAATTCATCTCCCCTTTCCTGTACCTCCCACAGCTCCTGGCACACGGAAGCTGCTTAATCAATGTTTACAGCAGGTAGGATTAAATAGATAAAAGCTTAGATCAAATCAAAGGCTTCTTCCTGGTGGGAAGAGTTGCTATTACTTACCAGCCTGGTGCTGGCAGCCAGTGTGCTTAAGCTAATGAAAGGTGGGTGGCCTCCCGAAAGGTGAGGAAGGATTAGCTGATCTTCCTTGTCCTCAAGTCCCTGCACAGTGACCCAGAGCCAACCACTGGCTTCTTGGCATGCGTAAACGAAAAAAAAACACAGCTCTTCTCAGGCATGACACACAAGAATTTCAAAGTGTCAGTTTCCCTAACATTTCTTTAATTCCTACCTAAAGGAGCCAGAGGAAATGGATATTGGGAACCCAGTATTCTCATATTGGGATGTGTATGTGTGTGTGTGTGTGTGTGTGTGTGTGTGTGTGTGTGTGTGTGTGTGTGTCCAAAACATGCAAATGTTGGAAGAGGGAAAAATCCGAGGAGCTGTTTGATCTATAGAAAGGAAATATAAACAGAGAGAAGCTCTGTTCACTTCACATCAAAGTGAATCTAGGTTCCTGTTTTACAATAGCAATTAACATGTCTATTTCATGATTTATTTGTTTAGGTGGAGCGGATTCAACTTTCTATTTATAAAAAAAAATAGCAGAAATTTAATTTTACAGATTTTGGCATCAAGAATACTGAATTCTTCACCCTCTTCTTTTCCCCATGTAGAAGCGTTACCTGGTATGTAGTCCACGGCTCCTGTGGGATGGAGCCCGCACAGAATCAAGGAGCATGCTGGGATATGACTGAGGCTGCGTGTTCGGGGAGCTGTCAGTCCATAATGCAACCTTGCTTGGGGTTGTCATTCAGAGCTGTGCCACGTGAGTTAAAGATGTTCCTTTTCTCATTACAGATGTGCGGATGATGCAAGGCTCAGAGACCACACCGTCAGAGCCAACATACCGGTCAGAAAGAGACCAACCTGAAAGTAGGAAACAAACACTTGTTGCCAACATCCTACATGCCCACCTCTGTGTCCAACCACATGCCTTTCTTCTTTCTTGCAAACAGTTGACTGGGCAAAGAGAAGGTGTGTTCTGGTTCACTTCAAACACCTCTAAGCCTAGGAAAGCCACAGGAAGTGCCTTCAAGATGCCATTTATGTTGGCTCCAGCTTGTATGGATAGCCCTTCCCCCTCAAAGCTGGAGCATCTGAGGCCCAGACATCCATTTTTTTTAACTTTCATAAAAGTTCATTTCCATTCATTTATTGGATGTTCTTGGTGCTGGGTGGGCACTCAGCCAGTGTTAAACTGCAGAGCAATGATACCCTCGACACCTTCAGAGGGTCCTTGGTTTCCTCTCTAAAACAAAAGTTGGCGCCCTTGTAGGTAAGGGTTCATACAGGATCCATGGCTCATCCACAGGCCTAGGTGCTCTTCCTGTGTCTCATCACCACTTGAGGGGCTCTGCTCCCCCATTCTTGCTCTCAGGGACACACAGCTTCCCATGCTAGGCCCAGCCACAACCCCCTCTCTTGTTTCCCTCTAGTATTCCTGAGATGCCAGGAGGAACTCCGAGAATACAGTGAAGAAGCCTGGCTTCCTTGGCTTGCTGTACCCGGATACACGGCTCCCATATGTCCCCTCATTTCACCTGCCCTGCAACATTCTGCATTCTGTTGCCGTCCTCCCTACTGGACAGATGACAAGTAACAAGAGTCATACACAGCTCTCATTTTGTCTGCCTCCCACCCCTCCCTCCTTTTGGTGGAGGGCTGTGTTTCCTTTCTTTGAGGCGACTTTTCTGCCTCCCCTCTCCAATGAGCAGTCAGAGGCAGCACAGAGCTATAAGTAAAAACATAACTTTGGATCAGGATTCTCTGGACTCTGTTTCTTACAAGCTTTATCACCTTGGTAGAGTCCCTTCATCTCCTCCTCAGTGTTTTTGTTTTTCTCATGCTTAGAATAGAAATGGTTGTCAGAGCGCCTACCCTGGGGGCTAACTCACCCAGTAGGGATGAAAGGTGAACCAGTTCAAAGGAGTGTGTGGGATAGCCGCCATGTGGGAAGGGCTGTAAGCCTAGTCAGTGTTCCTCTATGGAGGAGGCTATCATCACATCTGCCCCCTTGACCGTAGCTAATCCTCCAGAGCTGAGAAAGGTGACTTATGGGCCTGTCCCTTACATTTCTCTCTGTGGCCTTGGGTAGGAAAGTCAAATGCTTACTGGTGTGAGAGGTCTAAGCTGTGACCTGCAGGAGCATCTGCCGTGTGGCTCTGACAGAACAAAGCCACACAAAGAGACTTTGAGAGTTCCACCACAGCCAAGAGTCTCCATTTCCAGATGTTCCCTCAGCCCATCCTAAAACCCCAGCCCTGTGGAAGTGCAGAACCACAGTAGTAAGAAAACAGAATTTCAAGTCTCCAGGGTGAAAGAAATCCTACTAAGTCCTTGCAGCATAACAAACATGGACCACCCAGAGAACCATGAGCTGATCATCATCATTGAGCCATGCTTCCTCCATCTCGGCTCCTACCTCCAAGTTATTACTGTCCCCTCCCCTCCCCTCCCCTCCCCTCCCTTCCTCTTCTTTTCTTGTCTAGTCTGTTTTCCTTTTTTCTCTTTCTGTCTCTGCCCATCTCTCTGTCTCTGTCTCTGTCTCTCTCTGTCTCTCTCTGTCTCTGTGTGTGTGTGTGTGTGTGTGAGAGAGAGAGAGAGAGAGAGAGAGAGAGAGAGAGAGAGAGAGAGAGAGAGAGAAAGGTGGGTTAACATGGCCATTGGACCAGCTGTTTGCAACCAATCTTAGTTTGCCGCTGCCAATTTTCCAATTCTGACTTTCTATTGCAGCCAACTAACAAACAGCCCTGTTTCCAACCTTTGTAACACTCTGAAAATAAGACAAGGCACCTCTCCTGGGTGAGGGGACTGGTGGCGTCATGCTTGGTGTGTTTTTTTAAAAATATTAATTCATTTACTGTTATTCATGTAAGTGTTTTGCTTGCATGGGTGTACGTATGCCGTGTACGTAACGTGCCTGGGGAGGCAAGAAGTGAGCGTGGAAAGCCCTGGAACTGGAGTCACATGGATGGTCGTGCTGGGAACAAAACCTAGGTCCTCTGCGAGAACAACAAGTATTCTTAACTGGTGAGCCATCTCTCCAGCCCTTCTTTTTTGTTTCAATTCTTTTTTTTTTTGGTTTTTCGAGACAGGGTTTCTCTGTGTAGCTTTGCGCCTTTCCTGGTACTCGCTTTGGAGACCAGGCTGGCCTCGAACTCACAGAGATCCGCCTGGCTCTGCCTCCCTAGTGCTGGGATTAAAGGCGTGCGCCACCACCGCCTGGCTTGTTTCAATTCTTAAGACTGAGGGTATCTCTTCAAACATGTATTGGAGCTTCCTCTGTGGAAGTGTGTGGGTGTGCTTAGCTGGCAGCAGCAGATGATGACTTCAGGGTTCTGTCTTTGCGGGGCTTAGGGACAGTAGATTGCTGCACTCCTAAGAGTGAGGCACACTTTTTATTTTATTCCCTTCGAAACACTCCCTTCCTCCAACTTCTGCATTTTGATACTCTTTCTGTGGGCATCCTGGGTTTTGACACTTTTTTTGTGTATGTTTCTATAATTTGATCTTTCTTTTATTAAAATGAACCCAAAGAAATAAATACTTTAATACATAAGAAACGTTTGTTTGGCAGCATTTCATTTTGATAAATTTGGAATACATTGCAATCTATTTCAAATAGGTCTTCAGCCAGTAACAGGACCTTAGCATGAATCACCCAAGTTCAAAGGAGCTTTTTGGTCTGGGCTTGGAGAAGACTCTGCTTAAATAACAAATATTTTCTGAAGCACCAGACTCTCAGTAACCACACTGTGAAGCAATACAGCCAGGGGAGAAGAGCACGGGTGTTGTGGTTTGCACACGGTTCCCTTTGTGATCTCAGATGTGCAAAGGATTTGATAACAACATCCCATTTGCCTCTGCCACATGGCCACAAGCCCTTCAGTCATTCTGATGGATTTTTCTAATAGTCTGGAAATAAATAACCCTGGACCCACTGCTAACGTGTAAAACCTTGGACAAATTCAGAGTTCAGGGAAACCTTTAGTGTCTCCTGGTTTCTCTGCACACAAAGTTCAAAAATCCTATGCTTATGAGTCATGAGGCACTAATGCTTCTAAACCCAGCTCAGCCCTGTGCTAGCTATGTGTGTGACTGGGGCAAATTCCGCTCTCTCTAACTTAGACTTTCTCACTCCAACAGGGATCTTAAAAACAAGTATCTATGATTGTTTCTTTAAATTGGAAGAATCTGGTAACTTAATGTGCAATTGTTAGTTTAAAGTTGCCAACTTGATACAATTCTAGAACCAGCTGTCAGAAGCACCTCTGAGAATGTCTGAGGCATTATCTTGATTATACTTCTTGATAGGGTAAGACCCACCCTTTGTGGGTGTCACCATTCCCCAGGCAGGAAATTTTGAACTATACGAGAGTGGCGAGAGCAAGCTGCGCACTCACATGCACTAATTCATTGCTGCTGCTCTTGAATGTGGATGCAACGTGACTAGTTCTCCCAAGTTCCTGCCATTGTCACTTCCTTGCCCTGATGGACTGTGCACTAGTTAAAGCTTCTGTTGATGTGATAAAGCACCCATGACCAACAACAACTGTGGTAGAAAGCGTGTATTTCGGCTTACAGTTGTACATCACAGCCCATCACTGAGGGAAGTCGGGGCAGGAACCTGGAGGCAGAACTGAAGCGGAAGCTATGGAGGAATGCCACTTACTGACTTGCTCTCCAAAACTTACTCAGCCTGCCCTCTTGTGGAACCCAGGACCACCGGCACAGGAGTGGCATCACCCACAGTGGGCTGAGCCCCCATACATCAATCACTAGTTAAGAAAATGCACCACAGGATTGCCCATAGGCCAATCTGTGTGGGGGCATTTTCTCAATTGAGTTCCCTTATTTCAGATGACTCCAGCTTTTGTTAAGTGGACATAAAAACTATCAAGCATAGACTGCAACCTGGAGTTGTAAGCCAAATAAATTCTTTCTCCTTTAAGCACATTTTCAGGGATATTTGATCCAGCAGCAGGGAAAAGAAACTCAGATATAGTGCATGCAAAAGTACATAAAGAACTGTAAGCACTTAGTAAGTCTGAGAAACCATCATTGTCTCCATCATCTTTACCCATCACCATCATCATCATCATTATCATCATCCTCATCATCTGTGTTTCTTCCTGTTCATGGTGCAGTGAGTATATCTGAATCATTGGGTTGGTTCTAAAGCAGGGTCTCTCAACTTGGGAGCTTTTGACATTCTGTGCCCTCTTTGGCTATAGAGCCCTAGCCTGTGTCTAGCAGGATGCTGGGCAGCATGCCTTGACTCTCTTCATCAGATGCCTGTCTTGATTATGAAGAACAGAAAGTCTCTCTAGTCTTTGTTAGGTGTTCCCTGGGAATAAAACTATTAGCACCACTGGCCTAAATGGCAATCCATGCTCTGGGTATGAGTTAGAACAAGAAAAAAAGAATAAAATTGTTCTCTCCAAATATCGGGGCAGGAATCAAGTGATTCAATGTGGCCTCACTCCCCTTGAGGAGCTACTGGAAGCTAATGGTTATGAGAGAAGGGAAGTCACTTTCTTTGGTGGCGGGGCCACTGGTAAGTTGACCATGCTCCAGTAAATAACCCCTGGCCCATGGTAATGTAACCAGATCTAGTTAAGTTCACTGTGTCCCCAACAATTACAGACAAGGAAGCAGGAGGAGGACTTGAGGAGAAGAAGGGGTTCAGTGGGAGTGGGACGGGATGAGACGGGGCAATCGAATTGAAATAGGACCAAATTACAGTGGATACATGTATGAAATGATCAAAGCATTTAAAAAGAGCAAAGTGCCCCCTGCAGGAGCTGCTTCAATGGTGTCTTGTGCTTCTCTGCGCACACACTTTGGTTCCTCCTTGGACACTATCAGTCATTCTCAGTAGTTTCCTCGCCTAGATGGTCACTGCGTATTACCCAGCTTTCTCTGCTCTTTGCAGGTAGTGGCCTCATCCACTGTAACTTCTGATGACTGCCTCCTGTGACTTAGAACTGTAAGAGGGAGTGCATTGTAGAGAAAGCTGTGGCCCTTAGCAAGGCCAAGGACAACTTCTACTCAGCTATGAAGGACACAGCCCAAAGGGCTATCAAGGGAGCCCACTCCCTAGCCACATGACATTCATGTAGGGGAAATTGAGCCATGACCACCACAGACCCTGTCTGTTTTTGTGTCCTGCTTGGTTCTCTCCCTGAAGATGGGTACCCAAGGGACTTGAGCAATCTCTTTGCCACTGGTGAATCATCTGTTTTGTTCCATCTTGTTCCAAAACAGACAATTTTAGGCTCTTGTCCTTTCAGCCTTCATGGGTTTGGTGGATACCTCTTAGGCTGAGCTGCGTGACCCTGGATAACAAAAAGCTGAGGAACTTGAGGTCCAATCACCACAGGGAGATGTCAGCAAGTTCATGCCACATAGAAGATGAGGTCAGAGAAAAAAGCAGTACAACACCACAGAGTGCAGATTCCTAAACTTTATATTGCATCCACTCTGACCCAGGCCGCAGATCCTGGGAGGAGCTGGTCAGACTCAGAAATGGTTTCCTAATCTCTCTGCTAGCCCAGCCTATCTCCTAGCTAAGGATAGGAATTAGTTATCCCAAGAATAACCAGAATTATTAGTACCAAAGTACCTACCCCATCCCTCAGCACACTGATAACTTCATTGTTTTGTTTTGGTTTTGGTTTTACAGTCCCATCTAACTCTGTTTCTGTGCAAAAGAGCTTGTATACTTATTAAGGTATAACTATAATTGCGTGCCCACTTTTTCAGTTAATATCATATCTTAAGTGCTTTCAGTTTTGCTTTAAAAGTTCTGCTTTAATGACCACTTATGCTTCTATTAAAGTGGCTATAAAATTTTTATTTAACTATTTTTATAAGATTTGGTTGACCAGTTAGAGAAATAACTCAGTGGTTAGAAGCATAGGCTGCTCTTGTAGAGAACCTGAGTTTGGTTTCCTGTACCCATAACCAGTGGTTCATAACTGCCTGTAACTGCAGCCACTGGTGATCTGACACCTTCCTCTGGTATCCACAGGCAACTGCACACATGTGTACATACACTGGCTCACATATATATGTGTAATTTAACATAAAATAAAAAAATTCTAAATAATATTTGCTCTTATTTTTTTCCTTAGTTGAAGTTTATTCTTCAACAAACATTCGATGTGTTTCAGAATTTCACACTTTAACCTCCTTAATTATTTCCTTGGGGTGGATTTTCATAAGTAGGTTTAGAGTTCCAGGGTATATATATCACTTATGAGTTTAACATAGACAGACAAGCTACCCCCGGTGACTCAAACATGAGCAATATTGCTGTAATTCTTTCGTCATTGCCGTGTTATTTTACTTTTTAAATACCACATTCTTAATCATTAGTTTCATTTTTATATTTTTAATCACTACTAAAGACAAATATATTTCACTCTGTGTTTATGGAAGGGACACAGGAAGGGGTTTACACACCCAGGTCCTCTTAGAAGAAGCCACTCTGATTCTCATATTAAGTCAGCATGCTCTGTCAGAAAGCGCCTCACTGGCCTGATCTCATCTGTGCTCTGTGGAGTTGTTCCACTTTTCTCTCTGACCTCACCTTCCATGTGGCACCAATGTAACGGGAGGCTTTTCTCTGTCCCACCCTGTAGCCATTTCCAAATAATCACTCAGAGGCTTATATTAATCACAAATGTTTGGCTGATGACCCAGGCTTATTACTAGCTAGCTCTTACATTTAAATTAACCCATTTCTATTAATCTATGTAATGTCACGCAGCCGTGGCATTACCAGTCTGCTGGCATCTTGCTTCTCGGGTGGCTGGCCCGTGTTTGCACTGACTCTGCCCTTCTTCCTCTCCATCTTCAGTTTGAATGTATCACCTAACCTTATTCTGCCTCGCCATTGGCCAAACAGCTTTATTTATCAACCAATGAGAGCAAAACACATTCACAGCATACAGAAAGACCATCCCACAGCACATCAACTTGCTGGTATCTCCCCATGGAGATAGGGCCTCAAATCCCTCAGCGTTTTATTATCCAGGGTCACTCAGCTCAGCCTAAGAGGTGTTCAGCAAAGGGGACAAAGGCCGAAGGGACAAAAGCCTGAAATTCAGAGACACAGCAGAAACAGAAAGCAGTTGGAAACACTGTTTTGTGACACAAGTTTATATCTCAGGTGGCACAAATCGAAGTCACCAATAGTATGTCACATAGAAGCTGTTTAGAGAATTCTGGTGAAAAAGAAATTCTCATGTTATTATTATAAAGTTCTATTACTGAAGAGAGCCTGGGTGAATCTTATTTTCACCGTCATGAAGAACAAATGGTGCAAATCTGACATCTGAGAGTTCTGATGGCGTTAATGTGGAGCCACAGCAGCAATACTAACGGCTAACACTTGCAGTTCCTGCTGCCTGACAGGTAGCACTCTGCACATTTCCCGTACATGTACTTAATCCTCTCAAAACCTCCTGAGGTAGGCATGATGATTAGCCTTGTTTTGCAGTTGAAGAAATCAAGTCACAAGAGAATCTGGAGCTGGGTTCATTCACAGGATTCTGTACTGGGTGAAGCCACTGATGACTCTGCAGCCGGTACAGCACGGGGCCCGAGGGGTGGGAGAAAGGAACATGGGTGTGTTGGGCAGGCAGTGCCTCGGATTCTGTGTGGTCTATGCAGTCTGGCTAGATGGCTGGCTTTCCATGCCAGACCACTCAGGAAGGCTCCATGCCCATCACTGAGTTGGGTATAGGCTTTCTTCCATTCTGAGGGGAAAGCCTTACAAACACACTCATCTCCTACTTTTCTTTGTTGGCTAATATTAAGGTCATAACCAGCGTGGCAGGACAATGGGTCTCAGTCAATATTGCACACAGTATCACATTTGCTGCTTTTAATGCTTCCTTAAAAATCAATCCCATTGGCATTAATAGAATGTTCTCATTCAAAATACATGAGACATGCTGAGTGGCATATGAACAGAAAATAAACATTGTGAAATGAGGTCTGTTAGCAGCAGTGAGTCTACTCATCAATGGCCTCCACTCTTCTCTAAACCATTGGTGACACTCTGATTATTGCTAATTAATGACTAGTTATTAATCAGTAAAAATGACAACTCTGCAATGAAAGAGATATCTTGTTAGAGGGAGACATTATGGGGTAAGGGAGAAGCCTGGTGCTAGGGAAATTCCCAGGAATCCACAAGGATGACCCCAGATTAGACTACTAGCAACAGTGCTGAGGGTGCCTGAACTGACTTACCCTCGTAATCAGATTGGTGAATATCCTAACTGTCATCATAGAGCCTTCATCCAGTAACTGATGGAAGCAGATGCAGAAATCCCCAACCATGCACCAGGCTGAGCTCTGGGAGTCCAGTCAAAGAGAGAGAAGAGGAATTACATGAGCAAGGAGGGGTCAAGATCATGATGGGGAAACCTACAGAGACAACTGAACCAAGCTCAAAGGAACTCACAAACTTTAGACCAACAGTTGTGAAACCTTCATGGGACCAGACTAGACCCTCTGCATGCAGGAGACAGTTGTGTAGCTGGGTCTGTTTGAGGGGCCCCTGGCAGTGTGATCACAATCTATCCCTGGTGCATGAGCCGGTTTTCTGGATCCCAGTACCTATGGTTGGACACCTTGCTCATCCCTGATAAGTTGGGGAGGGGCTCGGTCCTGCCTCAACTGAATGTACCAGGCTTAGCTATCCCCCCATGGGAGAACTTACCCTGTTGGAGGAGGGGATGAGGGTGGAGTAGGAGGAGGGATGAGAGGGGCATCTGTGGTTGGTATGTAAAATGAATAAAAAAAAATGACAGCTCTGTGATGTGAGTGACAGCCCCATAGACAATAAGGGACACTAGTCTTGGAAGAGAGTCTCAGCTATGCTAACTGGGGCAGGTCTAGTATCTCCCAGTTCCTGTTCCCTCTATGTGGTATAAGTGAGGGGCTGAAAAGATGGCTCAGTAATTAAGAGCACTTGCGGCTTGTTCCAGTTTGCTTCCTGTTACTGTGATAAACACCTGACCAAAAGCAACCTAAGGGGAAAAACATCTTATTTCAGCTCACACCTCCAAATCACAGTCCTTCATTGAGGCAAGTTAGGGCAGGAATGCAAGCAGAAACTGAATCAGAAACCATGAAGGAATGCTGCTTATAGGCTTGCTCTCTGACTTGCTTAGGTAGCTTTTGAATGTAGCCAAAACCCATCTAAGTAGGGATTAGGGATGGCGCCGCCTACAATTGACTGGGCCTTCCTACATAAATCATCAGTCAAGACAGTATCACACAGGCATGGCCACAGGCCAGTTTTACCTGGGCCATTCCTCAATTTATGCTCCCTCTTCCTGGGTGGCTCTAGGTTGTGTCAAATTGACAAGAAAAGTCAACCAGCACACTGATCTTCCTGAGAAACTGGGTTCATTCCAAGCACTCATATTGGGCAGTTCACAACCACCAGTAACTCAAACTTCAGGGTTTCTAACACCCTCTTCTGGCCTTCATGGGCACCCAAATTTATGTGCACATAGAGACATATACAGACACACATATGCATAAACAAAAATAAAATTTTCAATTTTTAAGAAGAAATATAAGTAACTAAAACTCTTCTAATTGTCAGACTTGGGTACATAGAAACAGGATTTGTACCAGATTTACTCATAACTGCTAAAAACTTAGAAACAGCTGGGATGTCCTACAGTAGGTTGAATGGATAAAGAGAGTGATCTATCCAGACAGCAGAATATTTATTCAGCACTAAAACAGAAATAAGTTCTCAAGCCATGAAAAACCATGGAGGAGACTTAAATGCATATTATGAAGTAAAGAAGCCAATCTAAAAGAGTTGCATACTACATGATGCCAATCCTCTGGCCTTCTGGAAAAAGTAGAGCTATCCCTAGGTGTAGCAGGAATCTTAACAGGTCTTATTAATAAAAACAAACCTGAATCCAGGTATTGGGGTGAATGCTGGAAGATCAGAGAAGCAGAACAAGCCACAGCTACCTCATCTTGCCAATTCCTCAGCTGATCCTGTTTCCTCAGACCAGAAGCCTCTGTGTCCTCATCCAAATGGATCTCAGCTGAACTGCTGCTCAAAAGCCTGAAAGCTTAAACAGCTCTAGTTCCTGGTCCTCACACCTTAAATACCTTTCTGCTTTCTGCCCTCACTTCCTGGGATTAAAGACTCACTTTCTGGGATTAAAGGCATGTGTTACCATGCCTGGCTGTTTCCAATGTGGCCTTGAACTCACAGAGATCCAGACGAATTTCTGCCTCTGGAATGCTAGGATTAAAGGTGTGAGTGCCACCATTTTCTAGCCTCTGTATCTAGTGGCTGTTCTGTTCTCTGACCCCAGATAAGTTTATTAGGGTGCACAATATTTTGGGGAACAAAATACCACCACACCTAGGGTTGTGTCAGAGGCAAGATAAAAGACAAAACACAGGGGACTGAGTGGGCAGTGAGACTATTTCACTTTTAAATGGGCAATACCTATCATCATACATTTGTCCAAACCCATTGGATGTATGGCACCAAGAGTAAACCCTAATGTCAGCTGTGGGTCTGGGTGGTTGGAATGTTTCCATGCAAGTCCATTGGTCATAATGTATAATAAATGGGCCACTCTATCTAATTTAATTTTTTTCTTAAAATCTAACTTGGGGTTAGAGAGATAGTTCCATCAGTAAAGTGCTTGTTATACTCGTGATTTTTATTTGTTTTATGCATTGATAAGGCTATTCTCTCACCCTCCCTTTAGAAAGCATTTTTCTGGAACTCACTTAATCCTGGTCTGAAAATAAAATGTCTTTCTTGGCCCACTGTACAACCATTGTCCTGGAATTTTTTTCTTTTGGATTTGGTGGTTAGTTTGTGTTGTTTCTTACATCTCATTGTATCCTTTCCTTTGTTTTTCTTTTGTGTGTGTGTCCATTTTCTGGAATATAGTCTTAAGTAATTCTTCAGAAATGGTGCCTGGGAGACAGGATTTTTCACTGTTTGAATACTTAAAATTGCTTTTATTTACCTTCTATATTGACTAATAGTTTGGTTAAGTATAAAACTTGAAGATAAACATCAGTTTTCCCCCAGAAACATTTATAACTTTGTTTATTACCTTTGAGCATCTGTTTTCACGTGTGTAAAATGTGTTCCAGTTCTCATTTTTAAACGTGATTCCATTCAATGCTTGCAACTTTTACACCATTTCTTTCTGTAGACTCAACTGAAAAGTCACAGTCATGTTTCTGTAGAGATTTTATTGTTGTTATTGTTCATTTTGCTCATATAAGGTGAGTCTCTTGATTATAATATTTCTGCCTCTTTCCGGATCAGAGTCATGTATATGTACTTCCTTGATTTGGATACTACATATCAATAATAAATTATGTAACACTTTTCTGTGCTGTTTATATTTCTCTTAATCCATTCTTACCTTTCCCTCATATGTGTGAATATGCATTTCATTTACACAGTATTACTCTTAATCTTTAATTTTTACATAGATGTAGTTTCTTCCCAGCTTGGTTACATTCTCTTTAAAAACAAGCAATAAGCTGGTGCATATACCATCTTCACAACATCATTGGGTAAACGGCACTGAACTTACAAACCATTTAAATGAATCATTTACTCTAGTTCTAATGCACAAGTATGAGAAAATCTAACTAACATTGTAGACAAGGTAGCATAGCTATATCCTCCAGTTGAAACCTTTCCTTCTGGAATGTGGAGAGGTGAGGCTGGTTGGGAGTCAGGAAGTAAATGAAACTTACTTACTGAATTAGGTGAATGAAATTCACAAGTCTCAGGAAGCATCTAAAGCAGACAGGATTCACAAGGCTCCTCCCAAGTTAACTTGGGCAGTAACAGCTGCTGGGGAGTGAGACTGTGGTCAGGCAGAGCTGCCTGCAGGGAGCTCATGGGGTGCAGCTTTCATGAGTCGCCATCCATACTAGGATGGGGTCTCCAGTATAAAGTTGCCTTGGAGTCACCCATACTCCTGCAAGCCACCCCAAGAAACCTATTAATTTACTTAGCTGCACTTTGCTGCAATCAGAGCATTTGCCAACTCGAGAGGAAGGATCTATGCCAAAGGAAATAGATAAAACTATAAAGAGGAAAACATGACATTATTGTTCCTTCAGTTTTATAGCTGCTAATAATCTCCCTTTTTGTGTCTTTTGCAAGAAAACATTTAAAAATAGCACTCTGATCCTTGTTAAGTTTCTGCATCATTTTGAGTGCAATCAGTTAATGGTTAGGGGGGGAAAGGAATTGACTATTTAAGCATAAAAGGAGCTCCCTGAGAGTGAGAAGCTGTGTTTTCAAGGTAAGAATGATGAAGCCACGGAAGCATGTTGCACAGTGAATTGTCACAGCATACCAGGTGGAGATGTGCACCAGAGCAACAGAAAGATTAATCAGCCTTCACGTCAGCACTGCTGAGTGCCAGTGACAGACTTCCCTGAAAAGTTAGTGAAAATTACCATGGCTTCCCTGCTTTCTAATGAGATCCATGATGACGCAATGAATGTGGCTTTTAAAATTCTGTATAATAAAATCTGTCACAGTTGAAAGATGTAAATAACAAGATGAGCCAATATTTTCCAAATTACCAGCACACAGCCTTCCAAAGCTATAAGTAAAAGATTCATTCCTAGGGGTAGGATGGACAAATAGATGTTACCATAAAAACTTTTCAATGCACAAAGGGTTATTGATAAGATTTCAGTGCCGCATTACAGACAGTGCTGAAGATGCTACCATCATGGGCTTTTGGTTTTACTAGAATGTCTGCAGTATCCAGAAAAGTCTAGAAAAAGACTCTTCCCTTTTCCAACAACTTAACCAGTGAGGCAGATTTTCCCAGCTGCTTTGACCAATGGACATCGGAAACACTGTTCGAGCAGTCTATGGGTGAGTTAGACGTTAAAGAAATCTTCAAAATTCGAAAGAATGCCTCGCTCCTTACTAATACTTGAGAACATTTAGATTAAAAAAAACTTATTACTTACATTAACAAGTAATAGCTATATTGCATTTGTTAAAATGACTTAATAAACACTTAAAATTGTTAAGGCCCAAGAGTCTGGGAATAATCCACCAAGAAGACCGGGTTTGAGCAAACAGAAAATTTACTGAAAAAGGCAGCCACCAGTGTCGGGATCCGAACCGCATCCCAGAGGCAGGGGAGAATAAGCGTTTTAAAGGGGAAAATGCACAGGGGCAGCAAGGCCATTTCAACCAATCATAACAGGCACGGCTAGGGACTTTCCAGGGTAACGGACCCCCAGCCTAGTGTCAATCATTCAGGGGAGGGTGGACCTTCTGCATTTAGGCTATTTCCTGGGCATTTGGAATTAGGCTGTTTCCTAGACATCAGGTGTGAAATCATTTTTAGGGGTCAGTCATCTCCCTCTACTGAAATAGTGGCCTGATTGAAAATAGATCCCTATGGCTAAGTTGGACTCAAGAAAATGTTTCTTAGCTTTCATTCCATGTGGGTAAATATCAAAGGTATGACACAAAAATATTTCTCCTTCAGGATGGAGAAATGCCTTAGTAGTTAAGAGCACTTAACCCTGCGCCCACATCGTAACTCCTAATCTTCTGTAACTCCAGTTCCAGGGGATTCAATCCCCCTCCTGGCCTTGGCAAGCACTTCACGAACATGGTGAATAGACATACACGCAAGCAAAACACCCATACAGAAAAAAATAAACTAATAAATCTTTAAAATAAAACCCCCCTTGAGCTCCTCATCGGGAAAATATTAATCTGAAAGAACAAATGCATGGTAGCCCAAAAGTAATTGGAGAAGAAGAATCAGAAGGAGGAATTTTCCCTTCTCGGATTTAAATTCCTGGTTAATATGATGCAACTCTGTGAGGAGGCAATAGGAAAAAAAGCCAAGAGATGTCATTGTTCAGAGTCTAGAGAGATGTCTGGTGACTGGTTCAAGGAATATTCCAATAAAAGAAGCATTTTGTAAATATACGATAGAAGGTTTTTCTACCTCTTCCATTTCAAAAATACCTTTTCTGCTTACTCTTAAATAAATCTATATTAATATGTAGATGCCCAAAGTGTTTAAATATTTTAAAAATTAAAACAATGAAGGATTGCTCAAGTATTTTTTATAAACTTGTGACAATAAGTGTGAGAGGACACATACAAGGAAAAATAATAAAAAAGATAATTTGAAAATGAACATGTCTTTTACCATTAAAAAAATTCCTAAAAATTTATAAGACAAATCCGATATTGGGAAAACTTTTGTAATCTACTTTATGAAGTGCTAACTTACAGAGACCCTAAGGACTTTTCTTACTAATTAAGAAAAAAGAACCGTCCCATGGGCATAAAGTGGTATAGTAATAATTCAAAAAGTAAGATATTCAGAAGTCTAGTAAACACATTACATTTCTTTTCACTGTGATTAAAGAGCAATTAAAACAAGTACCATTTTGTATTAATTTTATTAGCGGGAATGTTTAATAACCAGTCGTGAGAAGGGCATGGGAAAATGAGTGTGTTCACCATGGTCCTCAGAATCCTTGAGGTCCAGCTAGTGAAGGGGGTTTTGCAGCAGTAATATGAAACATTTTGAATGTGTCTTTGTTTCATCAGAAACTTTTACTTTGGAATAAAAGGATAGTAATCCAATAACTCAGAAAAAGTGCAAAACTTCTGCCTAAGATTTTACCATAAAATCAAATTGGCGCCGGGCGGTGGTGGCGCACGCCTTTAATCCCAGCACTCGGGAGGCAGAGCCAGGCGGATCTCTGTGAGTTCGAGGCCAGCCTGGGCTACCAAGTGAGTCCCAGGAAAGGCGCAAAGCTACACAGAGAAACCCTGTCTCGAAAAACCAAAAAAAAAAAAAAAAAAAAAAAAATCAAATTGGCCTAGTAATAAGGCATTAGTTGATAAGGAATTATTCCAGTCCAAGTGATTTGTCCTTACAATAGCGTTCTATATAGCTATTAACAGCAGTAGCAATAGCCATAAAAGAGCATCCCTGGCAAACTGCTAGCTGCTAATAGTAGACTGTAAGTTCATACATACATACATACAAGCCAAGTTTGAGTGGCAATACAGTATTTGAGAACACACCTTTCTTCTTTCCCTTTTGGGCATGCAGAAAGCTGTCTTTTCTAGTTCCTTGGAGTTGGGTAGGATCAGGATCATATGGTTAATTTTAGCCAACGAAGTGTGTACAGAAGTGACCTGTATCATTTCTGGCTGGAGACATACAAAGCTGATCCCTAAATCTCTCCTTTCCCTCCTCTTCTGCAGTAATTGAGAAGACCATGTGAGCCAGAGGACATGGTCATGGGACAGTGGGGTGTCTGGTAGCCTGATGGATGAATAGCCGTACAGAGCAGAGTCTCTGCCAACCTGTGCTGGAAAAGAGTATTATGAACTAGAAATAAATCTTTTTTATTAAGCCACTGAGAATCCAGAGTTAATTTATTGCTGTAGTAAAACTTAGCTAGTGTGAGTAACACACTATTTGGAAACATAAACCCACAACAAAGGGGGTGTATGAGTATGTACAAGCATGCAAATGTATATGTTTGCTTGGGAAAATGATATGTTGAAATGCAAACTGTGACTTTCTCTGGCTGATGGATATTCATAATTATAATTTTCATTCCCTACTCTTTTCCCTGAACTTTATACAATAAACATGTATTGCTCTCACACACAAAAACATTGAATCTATTTTCATCTCGGGAAATAAAATGTGCATTGATGCTATCTCAGGGGACTGATCTGGGTTGTTGGAGGGCTAATGTTTACACTCTTTCAGCTGTTATTTGGTGAGGATAATCATCCTTTGAGCATGCTCTTCTCAGTAAACAAGCATATCGTGTTTGGGTAGGAATGTTTTCCCTCTGGACTAGTACTGAGAAGACTAGGCTGAAATGGAATATAAGATCGCCAAAGTGGATAGATGTCAAATTAGGCAGGCCTTGAATGTCAGACCACAAAAAAGAAAGACCTGGAAGGGGAGAAAGGAGATTGAATGAAACCCTGAGGCCAACTGGCTCACAACATCCTGCCTGTATTTCATCATGTCCTCTGGGTCAATGTCCAGGGCTGGGAAACCAACAGAGTGGTCAAAATCTGTGAAGCCAGCCTCATCACTCAGGAAGATTTTTGCTTTTGTCCATAGAGTGTGATTCATTCTATGATGGAGTTTAAAACAATGAAAGGGAGCGGGAACTACCTTTCAAAATAGGAAATGAAAGCAGAGACTTGGTGCTGTCACAGAGGGGACCAGCACTTCCTGTCCCAGGCCTCC